CATCAGCTAAATTAAAAGAACAATATGGATCAGGTTATAAATTGATTATTAATAAACATAGTAGTTGTCGTACAAATGATATTAAAGCTGAATTACGTAATTATTTACCGAAATTAAAAGTTGAAACAGATATATCTGATGGTGATGTCGTTTTTCGTACAAATCAACAACCAAATGATCAGTTTGTTCAAGCATTACATCATCTTGAATCAATGAAAAGAAATAATCGAATTAAAAATTATGGAGTACAAAATAGTACTATGGATGATATATTCTTAAAAACTACAAAAGATACAGAAGTTAAAAATGATTCAAGATCAACATCCATTTATACTAATACGATTGGTTTGTTAACGATTTTTGTTTATCAACGAATAACTAGTTCTATTTAATTCAAGATTCGTCTCAGCAGACTTAAAATCAAACATAAGTTTTTTATCAGTAACTAGAGCACTCGATGTATTTCTTAGATAAGATTGATAATGATATTACAATAATCAATTACAATTAGCATTTAATTCTAAACACAATCATTTTTGTCTGAAACTTTGTTCAGTGTGCATAAAATACGCCTTGAGACATTGTATCAGAAACTCATCTTAAATGACGAGGTACTTTTCTTGCATATGTCACGTAGTCTGAAAAAGAAAAAAAATCGAAAAAAGTAATAAATCACCTCAAAAGATTTTGTGGTGTGGGTGTGGGTGAGGGTGTTCGTATAGAAGACGAGTAGTCCACACCTATGCGTCCAAGCCTACATTCACCCTCACCCACTCACACCTATCTGCATCCATATCCACATCCACAACTTTGTATAGCAAATGTTTATTTTCATAACCATTGAGTTTAGTTTCTATGCTGAAATTTATTTTGTTTATTGCAGAAAAACAATGTCGTCATGTATTTCATCGTCAATGTTTTTTTTCCGGTCCTCGTTATTATTTAAGTCAATTTCATGGATTATTAGCAAAAACTGTACTTGTTCATTATCGTCGTTGGGCATTAACACTTATTATTTTATTATTACCAATTCTATATAATCTTTTATCAAATTTAATATCTCAAAGCCAAAATGATCCAGGAATTTTTAAAATGAATTTCAATTCTCTTAATCCACAAACAATTTTATATCATACAGATCCAAGTATGAATAAATATTTTCTTGCATCTATTAATGGTGCAAAACTTGAACAAGGATCAGGAAACATATCTGAGATGAATGAAAATATTTGGAGTAAGTTTTAATATTATTAAAATAATAATTTTTTATTACTTTATTCTCACACTAGAAAAACGAATGAATCGTCTATATACATATACAGATATTTATCTTGGTTTTAATATTCCTCCACCATATGGAAATAAATATAAAATTGAAATATTATCATCAAATTTAATATCAGGTTATGTAGTTATATCTCTTGCATCAAATATATTCTATAAACATGCATTAAATGATTCAAGTGCATCGATTCAAACAACACTTGTCTATAAAAAAAAGGCAGAAAATTTTACTGAAGAACCATCGCTTGCTCAACTATTGGATATGTATAGTACGACATCATGTTTTTTAAGAATATTACCAACATCACTTTCACTTGACTTGTATGTAAATTTAAAACCAAATATTTTTATTGAAAAAATTGTAATTTTATTTTATTTAGATTTGTGTTCTATATTTTATTCTTTTATACAACTGTATTCTTAACTAGTGAACGAGAAGATAGCTTTTTATCATTATTAAATATTAGTGGTTTACAGTAAGTATTGAAATAAAACTTGATTATTTTACAAAATCGATAGTAAATTTTTATTTGTAGTCCAGCATCATATTGGTTATTTACTTATCTATTTGATATGATAATATCTATTATATGGTTTTGTTATTTACTTGCAATTTGTTGTATATTTGATGCTGCTTTTAAAGGTCGACCAGAAAAGAAATCATTACAAGGTGTACTTGAATTTCTTAGTTCATGGGATTTACGTACACAATTTTATCGATCATCCATTTTAATAGCATTACCAACATTACCATTTGCTTATTTATTAACAAAACTTTTTAAAAATGACATTCTCGTATGTACTTTTTTCATATGTAACATTTCTAATATACGATCAATGCATTTCAATTATAAATCATAAGAAAATAATCATTCACCAGAGATGTGCATGACGACAATCTGTTTGTCTTTACCCTCGTAGTAGCAGTGCGGCGGCAGTTTTCTGAATTTCCAACCGCAGTGAAGATCTCTCTTATTCACTTTTTCAGAGAAGTTACTTTGATGATTATGGGATATAACTTCAATGGTATATCCACTGACGGTCTTTTATTTATTGTAGTAAATCATCAACATTTATTTTTTCTCATAACTACTATTATTCTTTAACTAGTTTGCTGTATATTTTAGGGTGGTATAACCATATTTTTCATATTAATAATTCTTCATTTTGTAAGTACGATTACACAATATATGGCACTAATGATTGAAAGTGCATTTGTTCAAAAACTTTTATATTGGTTATTTAATATCATATTTCCAACTGTCAATTCTCAAGCTATAATAACTTATATCTTAACACGTAAAAGCGAATTTTGTAAAGTAGTGATTGCACTGTTTATAAGAGACGATCGCGATAGATTATTTTTTAGACCTATTGGTAATGATACAATTGGTTGGAATATAGTCATTCTTGTTTTACATATAGTTGTATTCTTATTCTTATTAATTATTACTGATAGTGGTTTGTTACAATTTTCATTTTCATGTTTCTATAAATCAAATTTTAATGAAAATACTCTTGATGATGATGTTTTAACTGAACGTCATCGAGTTTTAGGAACGCAAACACATACATTTGAAGATGAAGAAAATGTTGATCATTTAACAGTTAAAAATCTTATTAAATATTATTCAAGAAAAAAAATGTTAGCTGTTGATCATTTAACATTTGGTGCAAGACGTGGAGAAGCATTTGGTTTGCTTGGCTATAATGTAAATAAACAATAATAATATATTTTTGTTTTTTCTAATTTTATTTTAAAATAGGGTGCTGGTAAAACAACAACATTTCGTACTGTCGTTGGTGA